TTGGGAGGCCTCGGAGGTGTAGTTAGATTTGGAAGGCGCTGGGGCCGGGACCTGGGCCAGGGCCGGGGCCGGGGTGGGCCGGGAGCTAGGGCCAGGGGGCCGGGGCCGAGGCTGGGACTGGCCGGTCAGGGCCGGGGCCAGGGCCAGGGCCGGGGCAGGGCCGAGGCTGGGACTGGGTCCTGGGCCGCGGCCGGCGGGGCGGGAGCCGGGGCCGGCCGGGACCGGGGCCAGGGCGGGGAGTTGTGGGGGCACAAAAAAAAACATGGTAATACCCCCAGGACCCCCCTGGGACCACCCCCCTGGACCATGCACCCCCCTTGGGGCCCCCCCCGGACCCCCCCCCCGGGATCCCCCCCCCGCCCCGGGAAGGGATCCAAGAGGGAAGGAGTTCGCCTTCGCCTCTATGTGAACAATGTTGTGTGGCGCATCGGCTGAAGTGGATTGCTTCGCCGTCACCGCCATGTCCATGATGTTATGTGGCGTAGTGGCTGGAGTGGATTGCTGCAGGAGGGGGGGGGGGGGCTTCCGAAGCTACCTCCCCCCCCTCCCTTCCGGGGATCTGGCAAAGTGGCGGAATCCCTGACAACAGGCGCGCACCGCAGCGCTAGCGAACGCATTGAAGAATATCTTCGACCCCTGGTTCGTTGTCTTCTTCTGTTGTATTCTCGGCCCCTGGTTCGTAGTCTCGTTTCCTCGGGCCATGATTCCTTTCATCGTTTTCTCGTTTTCTCGGCCCCTGGTTCGTTTTCTTGTTTTCTCGTGTTTTCGGCTCCTGGGTCGCGGTCTCGTTTGCTCTGACCTTGATTCGTGCTCTCGTTTTCTCGTTTTCTTAGCGCCTGGGTCGTGGTCCAGTTTTCTCGGACCCTTCTTCGTTTTCTCGTTTTCTCGTTTTCTTGGCCCCTGGGTCGTGGTTTTGTTTTCTCGGACGCTGGTTCGTATTATCGTATTCTCGTTGTCTCGGCCCTCCGGTGGTGGTCTCGTTTTCTCTGGTCCTGCTTCGTTTTCTCGTTTCCTCCTTTTCTCGGCTCCTGGGTCGTGGTCGCGTTTTCTCGAGCCAAGCGTTTTCTGGTGATCTCGGCCCTTGGGCCCTTGGGTCGTGGTTTCTTCGGACGCTGGTTCGTTGTCTCGTTTTCTCGGCCCCTGGGTCGTGGTTCGTTTTCGCGTTTTCTGATTTCCTCGGCCACTGGGTCGTGGTCTTGTTTTCTCGGGGCCTGGTTCGTCTTCTCGTTTTTTGTTTTCTCGGCCCCTGGGTCGTGGTCTCGTTTTCTCGAGCCAAGCGTTTTCTGGTGATCTCGGCCCTTGGGTCGTGGTTTCCTCGGACGCTGGTTCGTTTTCTCGTTTTCTCGGCCCCTGGGTCGTGGTTTGTTTTCGCGTTTTCTGATTTCCTCGGCCACTGGGTCGTGGTCTCGTTTTCTCGGGGCCTGGTTCGTCGTCTCGCTTTCTCGTTTTCTCGGCCCCTGGGTCGTGGCCTCGTTTTCTCTGACCCTGGTTCGTTATTTTGTTTTCTTGTTTTTATTTTGCCCCTGGTTCGCAGTCCCCTTTTCTCGGGCCCTGATTCCTTTTATCGTTTTTTCTTTTTCTCGGCCCCTGGGTCGTCGTCGTGTTTTCTCTGGCCCTGGTTCGTTTTCTCGTTTTCTGTGCCCTTGGGTCGTGGTCTCGTTTGCTCAGACTGTGGTTAGTTTTCTCATTTCCTCGTGTTCTCGGCCCCTGGGTCGCGGTCTCGTGTTCTAGGACCTTGGTTCGTTGTCTCGTTTTCTCGTTTTCTCTGCTTGTGTTGTTTTGTGTTGTTGTTTCGGGCCCTGGTTCGTGATCTCGTTTTCTTGTTGTCTCGTTCCCTGGGTCGTGGTGCCATTTTTCCTCGGACCCTTGTTAGTTTTCTCGTTCTCTCGTGTTCTCGGCCCCTGGGTCGTGGTCTCGTTTTCTCTCGTGGTCTTGTTATCGTGGACCCTGGTTTGTTTTCTTGTTTTCTCGGCCCCTGGGTCGTGATCCAGTTTTCTCTGACGCTGGTTTGTTTTATCGTGTTCGCGCTTTCTCTGCCCCATGGTCGTGGTCTCGTTTTCGCGGGCCACGTTTCGTTTTCTCGTTTTCTCTGCTCCTGGGTCGTGGCCTCGTTTTCTCTGACCCTGGTTCGTTTTCTCGTTTTCTCTGCCCCTGGGTCGTGGTTTGGTTTCCTCGGGCCATGGTTGGTTTTCTCGTTTTCTCTTTTTTTCTGCTCCTGGGTCGTGGTCTCGTTTTCTCTGACCCTGGGTCGTCGTCTCGCTTTCTCTTTCCCTGGTTCGTGTTTTCGTTTCTTGTTTTCTCGGCGCCTGGGTCGTGGTCCAGTTTTCTCGGACCCTGCTAAGCCCCCCTTCCTTTTCGAAAGGGGGGGAGGGGGGGGGAGCTTCCCGGGTGCCGAAAGGGGGGGAGGGGGGGGGCTGCTGAGCCCCCCCCCCCTTTGGAACCAAAGGGGGGAAGGGGGGGGTAGCTTCCGGCAGAAGGAGGGTCAATGGGGAGGCAGCTAAGCCCCCCTCTCTGTCGTAAGGGGGGAGGGAAGGGGGGTAGCTTCCTGGGTGCCGAAAGGGGGGGAAGATTCCCCCCCCCCCTGGAACCAAAGGGGGGAAGGAGGGAGCTCCAGAGAGGGGATAGGGAGAGGATACTAAGCTCCTCCTCCCTTTCGAAAGGGGGGAGAAGGGGGGGAGCTTCGGAATAGCGAACGGGGGGGGAAGGGGGGGGGGGGGGGCTTGGGGGGCGAAAAAGGGGGGGGGAGGGGGGGGGGGGGGGGCTTCCAGCAGGGGGGGGGGGTGGAAGGAGGGAGGGGTAGCCCCCCCCCCGTTTGCTCCGGCTGGGGCGCTCTCTCTGTCGAAAGGGGGGGAGGGGGGGGAGCTTCCCGGGTGCCGAAAGGAGAGGGGGGCTGCTAAGCCCCCGCCCTCCTCCTTTGGAGCCAAAGGGGGGGGGGGTAGTTTCCGGCAGAAGGGGGCCAAGGAGAGGGGTGGGTAGGTAAGCCCCCCCTCTCTTTGGAGTAGCGAAGCCCCCCTCCCTTTGGAAAGGGGGGAGGGGGGGGGTAGCGTAAAGGGGGGGGGGAAGGGGGGGAGGGAGGGGGGAGCTTCCAGCAGGGAATGTTGAAGGGATGGGGGGGCAGCTGAGGGGGGACCCCCCCCCTTGCTCCGGCGCTGTGGGCGCGCTCTTTCGAATATTCAAAAATTGTCAAGAAATAGTTAGGGGACGATTTTTCGATTATGTGTCCACTATTTGGGTGTGTTTTTGTGGAGTATTTGATATTTTTCGCCCAAAATCCGCCTGTAGGAAGAAAGGCTCGACCTAACCATGGCCTCGCCCTTTGGTTCTCCAGCGCTGCGGTGGAGGCCGGGCAGCCTCCCCCCTGCGCCCTTTCCGCGACGGCCCGCTCCGCTTGCGTTGCCCTTCGCGCGCACATCCGGGGCGGAGATTGCCATCTCATCGTCGGGCCAACTTGGCTCGGGAAGGGAAAAACACTCAGACAAAATGAGTCGTCGATCCCCAGGAAAATATGCGAAGATATGGGAAGTGTTGGGGAAGACAGAAACCTATAATACATAGGAATGTATGGGGAATCCGGCTATTTGTTTATATTTATTTTTGTGTACCAGGGCCCCTTCATAGGCGCCTGCAAGTGTCTTCTGTGCTGCAGCATGAGGAATGCGGGTCCTGGAGGAGAGACGTATGCACATGTCTTCATCAGGCGAGTGGGGTCTTTGGGACTGGGGCCGCGAAGCGTGCGCTCAATAGCTCGCGCAATAGTTGAAATCGATCACACACATAGTACCGCGCCTCGTGCAATAGTCGAGGCGCAATACTTGCCCGCGCGAGCGCAATCAATTATCTTTGCGATTCATCCGTTTGTGTTCTCGCTTTTCTTGTTAGCAATCGTTTGCAATAGTTGGCCTGCCACGATGCAATAGTTGCGTCTGGTCATGTAGTATGAAGCGGTAGTTGAGCACGCGGGCGCAATACTGTGGCATCCATGTCTACTCCGAGTGTCACGTGGGCGTGTGCAATGGCCAAGGCTCACAGAAGTGGCGCTGCCATTCCGGCTGACCAGCCTCGCCCAGTGCCTTCCATCTTCCCCCATCCCCGTGCTGCTGCCACCGCGCAGACCATGGGCAGTTCTGTATCCTGCAACGCATGCAGAGAGGATCTTCAGTGTGAATGTAGTTGGCCCGAAAATCGATCAGGCCTGTGCACTGGTCAGGGCTCCACAGAAGTGGCGCTGCCATTCCGGCTGACCAGCCTCGCCCGCCGCCTCCCACCTCCCCCGCTCCCCGTGCCGCTGTCACTGTGCAGACCGTGTGCAGTCTGTCAGCCGCTCCCGCTGCCATCCGCATTCTCCTCGTGCGCGTTTATTCAAGGATTCCAGGGGTCCACTTCGGTCGGAAGTCGGCTTGTGTCATGCGCAGGCGTGAAGATGCAGGCCGACGTGCTCGTTGTTGCCCGGCGTCCCGCCGCTGCGATGTAGTTTCATGTTCCCTTTGGTCATTATCAGCATGGACGTGGTATGTGCAGAGCGTGTTTCAAGTAGATGGTAAGTCAATAATGCAGTCACCCTTCAGAGCTGATCCATGCAGCATGGACGTCATGCACGCATGAGGTTTTCAAGCATATGGGAACTTCGTATCTCAGTCGCCCGCGTCTGTTCGGGGAAACCAATCAAAATATTTGCGCGCAACAGTTGCGCGCAGTAGTTCCACGTAGCGAACTATTGCAGCTCATTTCCGAATATACCTCCTCATTTCCCAAGCACCAGATCTGGGGAGCAGGTAGGGGGGGGAGGCAGGGAGAGAGGACGGTGGGGTGAGGCACTGGCCCTGTCGAGGCAAACGCGCATTTTGACGAGTTGCCGCACTGCGGAAGTGCAAGTTCTTTCTGGCGTTTTCTGCGCTCGCACGCGGGAGCACCCCGACGCCTCGTGGGGCGGCTCCCCCCCTTTTTGCCAGAGGAGAAATATCTCTTGCCTCCGCCTTTTCGTTCCGCCCTTCCTCTCCCACATGCTTCCTATCTCGTTCCCCTTCCTCCCTCCATCCTGCGTCTCCAGCCAAGCCGTCGGGTGCTTCCAGATAGAGTTCGCCTCAACTGATATTCTGGGCGCGTTTGGCGCTGCCAGTTTGATCACCTTCGTCCGGTCGGCGCGCACTCGGCGAGTTTGCCGGGGATTTGCACGCGCTTGGCGCGTCGATCGCCTCGCCCCCTGGATGATTGAGGCGTGGAGTTGTTTGGAGGTTTGGTTTCGAATTATTCGAGGTCTTTCTAATTGGAGGACTAAGTACATATGGTTCATTTCTAAGTATTCGAATTCATTTATTTTTGTTTGGGGCCAAGATCCTTGCATTTCTAATTGTTCTATCCTGGGCCTCTTCCTGGCCATTAGGGGGCCGGGAACAATTAGAAACGAGCACAAGTAGAAATGAGCACGGTCAGAAATGAACGACGTGTAGCTTTCAGGGCAGGGGGCAGGGTGGCTCGTCGCCGCGACTGGGGATCTGCCTCGGGATCCTCGTCGGAACGCGGGCAGCCAAGGAGCTGGGAGAGCGGTGGGGGGGGGGCGAAGCGGGGGCGCCTTCTGGGATGAAGCAGATCTTGGCACCTGCGCGGGAAGGAGGTGGAGCCAGACGACACATTGACAGGCCAGCGATGCTTGTTGAATCTGCGTTTGGGGGATGTCTCGGCATCAGCGATGGGATTATTGGGCTGTGCTTGGGGGCTTCTCGGGGTTTGCCATGGCGAGTTGGGAATGTCTTGTGGCCTCCTCGCGATGTCTGGGTGGGCTGACCTTGGGGCGTATTCTGAGGTTTCTCGCGTCACCATCAACTCATCCAGAAACGACTGCATGGCGAGCTGTCGGATGCAGGATAGCATATATATATATATATATATATATATATAGATATGTGTATATATATGTATATATGTAGATGTCTATGTAGATGCAATGAAGGGGTCCTAGCGGAGGTTGAAGGATTTGGCGAAAGTTTCCCGCCGATGTTGGTCGCACGCTGGATTCTCAGGTTCCTGGTTCCAGGTTCCCGGGTTCCCGCTTCCCGGGCCGATTTCGGTGGGCGGAGACGTTCCCAGGTTCCCGGGTTCTTGGTCGATCTTCTTAAATCGATCGGTCTCAACATCGATCTCATTTCCCACCTCTCTATCGATCTCACCATCGATGTCACCATCGATCTCACAATCGATCTCGCAAGGGATCTCATTAGAGATCGCACGAGCGATCTCGCGATCGATTTTCCTGTCGATCGCATCGAATCGGTTTCACTCTCGGTCTCACGATCGACCTTACAACCGTCCTCTATCGACACCACTATCGATTTCATTATCGATCTCATAATCGATCTCAAGATCCATATGACGATGTTACAAATAATCCACTGATTGGGGTTTCTCAGGTGTACTATGTATATATATATATATATATGCGTATAAAACCTATACGCACGGCGTTGTGAAGTAAAGAGGCTTACAACAACAACAGCAACAACAACAACAACAACAACAACAACACGAACATCGTGAACTCTTGTATAGCCCTTCGTGAAGCCATCTCGGCGCTCTCTTTGGGATTGGGGTTTCCTCGGCAGCTGTTTGGGGTACTTTGGGGGCTCTCTTGGGGGCATGTCGGGTCTCCCGGGGACCATTTTGGAGTCCGCCGAGCAAGAAGGGGGGTGGCGCCGACCAGCGACTCCCCTCTGAAGAAGGACCGATCGCCTGTTGAGGCCCTCAGGAGGTGCCTCTGGGTGCTCTCGAGGGCGCCGTTGGCCTCCTCAGTTCCCCTCTTGGGCCTCTCTTGATCTTTAGGCAATCTTGAGACACCAAGGGTCTTTCGGAAGCGAAAAAGGCGAGGATCCAAAAACCATTGAACAGCCAAGTGTGTGTGTGGGGGGGGCGGGGGCGTCCTTGGGAGGCGCCCGCCAATCGATCGACGACGTTTCGATTTCCCCGCAGCTTCGTTTCTGGAGGGAAGGGAATGACCAGGCTGATGCCCTGGCCAAGGCCGCACTCGCGAGGCACCCATCAGACTTGAAGCTAGAGGAATCGCTCACCACCGACATCAAATTTGCTAGAGCTTATTGCACCCTGGCGATACACCTTCTCCCCCACTACGCTCCTCTGCGTGAGTATGGAGAAGTAGAGTACGTCCGCCCGCCTAAGCCAGTGAGAGCTGGCAAAGGGATGCATTTCTGGTGACACTTTGGAACTTTTTGGAAGTGCCTACTATGCCTCAAAGTGCGACGTTGCCCCGGGCCTCGGAAGCCCCCCTTGGAGGACTGCCCAGGCACGAGGGAGCTGCCTCTACAACGGATCAGCAGTTTAGGGCACTCCTGCCCAGGTTTGGAATGTTCTGACGGGGCTATTTTTATTCTGTGCATTTCTTGCAAATCCTATTCTTCTCACGGGAGATTTAGAGGCTTGCTGGTCAACTGCCCGTCTCGCCCATCGCTCTTTGGAAGGAGGGTGTGGTCGGAGGTCTCCAAGGGGCGCCACCCCGAAAGACCTTCCGTAGGCGTCGACTGGCCGATCTCCAGCTCGGACTTATCCCGCCTGACCCGAGGCCCCTACAGGCACCTCCCTGCCCCTTCGGGGCCCCCGCAGGACACTGATTCTGAGGAGGAGGCCCACCTGCAGGATATGGCCTCGGAGCTTCTTTTTTGCTTTGCAGAAGCGAGATACCCATCAAGAGCTGCGACGGGACAATCCCACTTTCTTGGCGAGGAGGCGCCAGGATCAGTCTGACAGTTCTGTTTAGTGTATCTATTCAGGCTTTAGCCTTTTTTCTTCTTTCCAGCACGGCCCGATGCGACTGACCCTTTGACAGGCATCCGTGCTCTACCCCACATTTGGGGCGAGGCCATCAGCCGTCCTGGCGCTCGCTGCACCAGGGGCTGGGGACCTCGTCGTCCTTGTGTGGGTGGTCGACTATTTCCCAACCATCCTGTGGTGTTGGGTCCTCGTTTTGAAGAGACGGTGCCCCGCGTTCCTCTCCTTCCTCCTCTCCTCCCTCCTCCCCCTCCTTGCCTCTGCTCTCGGCACACCTCTCACGCGTTTCGTAGCCCCATAGGGGGCTCCACCGAAGGCCCCAGTGGGGGTGTTCGCATGCGGTTCCCCCACCCAGGGCAGCGTTTCGTGGCCCCATAGGGAGCTCCACCGAAGGCCCCAGTGGGGGTGTTCGCATGCGGTTCCCCCACCCAGGGCAGCGTTTCGTAGCCCCATAGGGAGCTCCACCGAAGGCCCCAGTGGGGGTGTTCGCATGCGGTTCCCCCACCCAGGGCAGCGTTTCGTGGCCCCATAGGGAGCTCCACCGAAGGCCCCAGTGGGGGTGTTCGCATGCGGTTCCCCCACCCAGGGCAGCGTTTCGTGGCCCCATAGGGAGCTCCACCGAAGGCCCCAGTGGGGGTGTTCGCATGCGGTTCCCCCACCCAGGGCAGCGTTTCGTGGCCCCATAGGGAGCTCCACCGAAGGCCCCAGTGGGGGTGTTCGCATGCGGTTCCCCCACCCAGGGCAGCGTTTCGTAGCCCCATAGGGAGCTCCACCGAAGGCCCCAGTGGGGGTGTTCGCATGCGGTTCCCCCACCCAGGGCAGCGTTTCGTGGCCCCATAGGGAGCTCCACCGAAGGCCCCAGTGGGGGTGTTCGCATGCGGTTCCCCCACCCAGGGCAGCGTTTCGTAGCCCCATAGGGAGCTCCACCGAAGGCCCCAGTGGGGGTGTTCGCATGCGGTTCCCCCACCCAGGGCAGCGTTTCGTAGCCCCATAGGGAGCTCCACCGAAGGCCCCAGTGGGGGTGTTCGCATGCGGTTCCCCCACCCAGGGCAGCGTTTCGTGGCCCCATAGGGAGCTCCACCGAAGGCCCCAGTGGGGGTGTTCGCATGCGGTTCCCCCACCCAGGGCAGCGTTTCGTGGCCCCATAGGGAGCTCCACCGAAGGCCCCAGTGGGTTCGCATGCGGTTCCCCCACCCAGGGCAGCGTTTCGTGGCCCCATAGGGAGCTCCACCGAAGGCCCAGTGGGGGTGTTCCACGGTTCCACTGCGCGGCTAAGTCGCAATATGCATCTCGGCCGTAGCCGTTGTGGTACGCGAGGCGCGTCTCTCTCACGCGAGGCGTCTGCGCGCCGTTGTGCACATCATGCCTGCGATGCCCGCCCAACTCAAGGCACTACGGGCCCAACACCGTCGCGAGGACAGGGCGGACTTCAACGCCACGCTCACGGCCACCGTCAGGCACGTGAGATACACTGAATCACAGGCGAAGAAGAACGACAAGAAGGTTGGGCCCATTATGTAGTCTTTATGTTTAGTAGTGTTAGCTACTATACTGACTTGCATTACGTTGCATGTATATGTGTGTTGATACACACGTGTACGAATCATATTGTATTGCGTTGCTGTGATTCGATTCGACACCCCAATCGCTTCGTGTGTTACAGGGTTTGAATGTTTTCAGGTGTGGTTGGTAGGGTCGCGTTCACGCCATGCCCCCCCCCCCCGAAAGGTAGATGCGGCGTTCAAGAAGCTGGAGCGAGCCATGAAACAGGCGGAGGCCGCCGAGGAGGTGTTCCGCATGGTTGTGCGGGAGGCAGAGGTGTGGAGGAATGTGCACATTCGTGCAACTGGTCGCCTCGTTGCAGTGGGTGGCCTCACGCGGGCACGGGGCCGCAAGGCCCTTAGCGTCGCGTAGTACGCTCTAGCAGCTTTGCGGGGTTAGCTACAGGGTAGCGGGGTAGCTACTAGGGTAGCCCATGCGCGCAAAGGCATTCATCGTATCGCTTGTGGCGCTGCGTGCAAAAAATGCAACGTCATGCGCATGTGGGGTTGCACGCCAGTGGGGTCTACAGGGCGGCGCTACGGCGGCGACCGAGCCTTTCGTAAGCATGTTGGCCCAAGGTGCGCGTGTGTGTGTGTGTGTGTGTGTGTGTGTGTGTGTGTGTGTGTGTGTGTGTGTGTGTGCGCGCGCAGGCCCTTGCACGTAAACTGTTCTGGCTGCAATGGTGAAGTCCACCAAGCAGAAGGCGGTGGAGGCACAGGTTTGTCATGAGCTTGGGGAGGAGCGTGAGGAGCGGGTTCGCCAGAAGAAAGAGATTGTCAAGGCTGCGAACAAGGGTGTGGTGTCGACTCGCTCCCGTGTGAAAACACTGACCAAGAAGGCATGCATGTGGTTAATAACGTATTGCTTATTAAGTTACCCGCCCCATAACAACGGCCATCCCCCACCCTGACCCCCAGCAGCCTCAACAGGCAGATGTCGACTACGCCGCGTTCTTCAAGGCGAAGGATGAGTGGATGAACTCAATTCTGGACCGTGAGGCTGCGATCGAGTCGCACAGCGTCGCAGCCGCATGGCTTGAGCATGTGAAGTCCATGGGCGCGGCCTGATCCCGAGTCGGATCGCACATGAGAAATGCAAGCTGCAAAGCCGTGCGTCGTGTGTCGAACTATCTTGCATCTGTTGCATTTAACATCCTGCACATGATTACATACGATCCCGTTTGTGGTTTGCGGTCTGGCCGCAGAGTGGTAACGACGACAGCGAAGCAGGGGAGGGGATGTGCGGATGAAGGTGATTGGCGACGGCGTGGGGGGCTGTACCATTGTTGCCCCCCCCAATGCACCCCCCACCGCGGTCGGGCCGCCCTGCAATTGCATGTGATGTTGCAGTTGGCATCTTGTCCGTATCCCATTTGGCTCGCGAGTCTGACGTTCGCGATATCACCTCGCCACGTCGCGACCTGTCGCGCCATCTACTTGCGTTTACTACGCAATGACGCCCGTGCCAAACCTTATCGCTGAGCTAAACCATATGCACGAATGGGTGCACACTCAGATAAGCTGTGGGTTGGATCCCGCCGCAGTGGCCAAGTGTCAATTTGACCAGTTGCTCCTCAAAGTTGGCAATCTGGGGAACTTGAGCACCGATGACGCGTCACTCCTCGCGAATGCCATTCGAGACAATGTGCTGGACCACTGGAGTTCGCGAGAGCTTGCCCGGCTTTGTTCGGCCGTTGGCAACAAGACTGGCTTGCTGGGATACACCAGCGGTTCTAAGAAGTGGCAGGAGGTAACCATCTTCTCTGAATGCCTCAGAGCGACTGAGCTCGCTAAGTTGAAGGGGTGGACTTATCAGAAAAGGCGTGTGTAAACAGTGTGGTCAACCGTGCCGCGCTACTTGGCACGCATACATTATCTGAAAAAAAGTAAGGCGCGAGTGGCGGATGTGGTGGCACATGCCGTTGGGAAATGTGACAACGCAGATGCGTGGATGAAACTATTGAAGGGTGTGAAGGAGAAGTTGGGCGCAGATGTCACTGCGAAAGCGCGGGCCAAACGCGGGTACAGGACGATCTGGGATTACGACACCATCGACCACATGCATAGCGAGGCATGGTGGGGAGAAGCGCATGACAACGCCGAAGGCCCATGCATGGAGGACATGGGTGCCGACGAGCCCGAGATCGTGCGAGGGTCTTCCAGCAAGATCAGGAAGACTACCACCGTTGAGCCCGTCGCGCCCCCCCCCCCCCACGCCAAGGCCGCGATGCCAGATATGACGGTTGGTGGGCAGATGCAGATGTACCAGGACATGTTCGGGGGGCAGTTGGCCGCGGCGCTCTTCGCCAATGTGGCACTCCATGGAGGACATGCAGCTGGGTCTGCAGGAGCGTCTACAGGTGTGCACACAGGGGCATATTCAGGGGGCTGCCCTCTGGAGCCACCAAAGGCGAAGCTTCCGCCTCGTGAGGAGCCAACGCTCGGCAAGTCGGCGGCGGCCGAGCCAACAGTTGATGACGAAGAGCCCGATACCAACCTGAGCGGCGAGGAGGCCGCCCTGCGCAAGCTGCTCGCCACCAAGGCGAAGGCGGCGGCCGCGGCGACGGCCGCGCGCAAGCGCCCCGCCGCGGCTGGCGACGCGGCCGCCGATGCCGCCGAAGCAGATGCATCAGAGGATGCAGAGCAGCCGAAGAGCACGGGCAAGGGCAAGGGCAAGGGCATCAAACACAAGCACAAAGGCCATAGCACATGCAAAGGACACGACAAGGGCAACAAGAACACGGGCAATAACACGGGCAAGGTCGTCGCGAAGAGGCCCCCAAGCCACGTCGCGAAGCCGAAGGTGCTGCCGCCGCCTGCGAAGGCGGGGAACCTCACTACAGGGTTGGCTACGTCCTGACCCAGAACGACAAGCAGGTATATCGCCCCGTAGTGGGGGCGGAGCGACCAGAGGATCAAGCGGGGCCCTGGCGTGCGCTCGCGCGCTGAGGCGTGGTCCGCTGCCTTGGCGTTCATCGACGATCGGTCGTAGGCCAGCACATATCATTGTTTGTTGTTGCAGCGATGGATTCGCTTGTGCATCTGTGGTGTAAAACAAATACGGTGCGATCGTCGCATCCTGTCTCACTCGTGTCGATTGCGTTGCGGTCATCGCATATCGCATCAGCCCGTAAGCATTTTGGCTGGCATGGCGTCGGGTCCGCGGCCGAAGCGGCCCCGAACACACTCCGATGCATTAGTTGGGGCCCACCGCGACCCGTATGTTTCCAAGGCAGCATTGTCTCACGTGCTCACTTACGTTCGTGACAGTGGGTTGCCAGGCGCTGTCTCGCGGGGGTCCCAATATAGGGCATATGAGAAACATGTGGTCAATGATCGTAACACATATGGCCTTATATTTAATGGCATGCAGATGCCTGTTGGCGACGATAACGATGGGGGCACATTGAGAATTGGGTGTGTAACCCAGGGGCGTTCATTGTACGCCATATGCAAGAAAAGCGGGCCGTTCAAGTCATTGATGCGCTAACAATTGCAAAAGCACCCA